CATTATGTTGATGTATGCTTTATAACAACCCACAAAACGCTAAGCGACCGATCACCACCCAGTGACCTTTCAATATACCTTACCTAACCAAACCTACCTAATCTAACCTAATTTAACTTAACCTAAGATAATATATATCCATTCTTGAATTAGAGGTGGATTTGGTTTGTTTCAACTTATTTACACCAATCACATCTGTTACGAGTTGGGGATTTAGAATATAGTTAAAAGTCTACCCAGATCCCAACAGGCAACAATAATAAAAAAACCTAACACAAACAGAGACAATCGGACTATAAAAGGGTAGACAAAGGATGCGAGATTTTGTTGTGTATAATAAAGTACCATAAATTCCTTAACAAAATATTCAGCTTTCTATAATTTACCCTTAACCATACTTAACCTAAACATACGCAACATTGGCTTAACAGTATATACATATTTATACAACATACAACAAACAGAAGCAAGTGGAGGTGGGAGGCAATATAAGATTACAAAATACTCAAGTGCAGTGCTGAGATGGCTGACGAGTAAGGCTGAGTATTGAAGAAGATGGTAGGTAGTCACTGTGCCGTAGGTTTCCAGGATAGGTGATCCTAGTGTGGTCACTGCCCAGAGTGAACTGAACTCTCCTCGATCTGGAGCTGATGAGGAAGACTTGGAGGAGGTGACGCAACAACCAGGATATGGAGAAGGGAAACCCCGGAGTGGTAACTAAGACTAGTCATACTCGGGTTTCGTCCCTAGATGGCGTTGCTCGTGGTGCTGGGTAGGTAGATCATGACAATAGATGGCGTGGTTCGTAGTCCTGGGTAGGTAGATCATGAAAACTGATGGCGTGGTTCGTAACACATACATAATGCAAACAAGTCAATATGTCGCGACCGGGAACTTGAACGTCACTGTAGATTCGTGTTCAGCAAAATAACTTACAAATAAAATCATATTGTAAAGTGGTTCTCTTCTATAATTTGTTCATAAAGTTCTAACCGAAAGAGATTTTTTTTTCATTATACCGTGGAAATATCCAAACTGCTACACTTAAGGTAATTTACCCCGGTGTTAGGAATCCCCGTAAAACATTAATGGTGGTCTATCAGTTTCCAGACCACATTAAATACTTCTTTATGTTTGGAAAAGATACTGGAGACAATGATAGTGGGTCGTCATGTGTATACGAGATATAAACAGAATGTTTATGTGTATATGTACAGGAGACCTTACAAAGCATCATTAGTGTCAAATGAACAGAGAAACTAAAGGTGACGAATTGCGTGTATTTCGTCTACCTGTCTATCTGTCTGTCTGAGGTGTGAGCATCTGTAAGTGAGGCAGAAGCTTCCTTAAAAATAACACTCCTCGAAAAGATGAAATATTCCATGATCAATAAACACACAAATGGTTGCGTTACGTCTGTAGCAGAATTTCATCCGTGTATAATTTTAGTCTATGATTGGCGGATGGTTCACACGTAAGTGTCTCACAGTTTCTCTCTGCCTCTCACGCCGATAGCCTCCTCAACTTCATGACCTTGTTCTGGCTGGTGAACATAAACACATATCTGTGTAATGCAAAAACAGCTGAATCACAATAGAGTTATAACCGCATGCGAATATTCTGCAATCGTAAATTTAGAACAATATCTGTATTAGAGAATATCAAGCGTAACTCTTCTTTGTCAAGGTTATTACGTCACAGGTGTTGACTGAGGCCCCGAGTATATAAGATGGTATTACACCACAATGATCATCAGTCTGAGTCTTCTTCCTCACAAAACAACAAACATGTCTCTTAAGGTATCATGGCAGTCATTAAGCAGCGCCATGAATTTTTATATAATCCTTGTTTATTTTTGGAAAATAAAGCTTTTATTTCAGTTATAAACTATAGAAAATATATCATACAACCATAAAAATTTCAGACCGCCTTATCATGAACTCTCAGTAATAGAAAATAATAATGATAAAAACTTTCACAGTTCGTGCTCGTGTTGTGTGTTGTGAGGATGGCAGTGGCGCGCCCCCAGAATCACCCCAGACAGTACTATGGCTCCCCAGGTTCTGACGTGAGTAGTGCCACCTGTCTGTGTCAACACTCCCAACAAACTATAGTGGCTGACACCAGTATAATATTAACATGTGTATAACTGGTCAACCTGACCATGGTGACTTTAGTGAGACAGCAAATGTCCACATTTTATTATTATTGTTGCAGACTCCTGCTCAGTACAACTTCAACTGGCAAGTAAAGGATGACCCCTCCGGCAATGATTTCGGCCACGAAGAGTCCCGTGACGGCGACAACACCCAGGGCTCCTACTACGTGTTGCTTCCCGACGGTCGTCTACAAAGAGTCACCTACACTGTTAATGGAGACTCCGGTTACGTGGCCGAGGTCAACTACGAGGGTGAGGCCCAGTTCCCTACATACCAGTCGTCCTACACCCCAACTCCTGCCTACGGCTAAGAATTGATGAATTCATAATACTTATTATAACAATCAATTATTATTTGTAAAATAAATTTCTGCAAAGATAATTCCTTTTTCCTAAACCCTGAGACAGGAGAAAACATGGCATCTTGTTAATGTTGTCTTGCACAGTATATTTCTCCTCCTAAAACATTAACCGTAATATATAAAAGAAACTTTAGATCTACAACATATAGAGCCACATAAAAGTATACTAGAGATCACTGGAGTGTTAAGGGATCACTTGAAGATCGAATATTAATACGACATTATTTTTGTGTCTAATTTTGTACAGGAGACGTTAATGTTGTTTGTGTGGGAGTACATACAGGTATAGCGTTAATAGTGTTAGTGTGTAGAAAAGAAACATTTCTAGTAAGTCTACTGTATAAGAGACAATAATAATTGCATAGGAGAGAGCAGGACACGTTGATTTTGTGTCTATCAATGTATGAGACGTAATACTGTGACAATGAGTTTAAAGAAATTAATAGTCTTTCCTTTTATATACAGTAGCATCCAGGTGTGTTATTACACCCCTACCGTGTTTCCCTTGCTCATGTGGCGCTGTCGCACTACTCGTGTGGCCACGGAACTGATAGGGCCTTGCGAATTTGGCACATGAACAAGGAAGACACGGTTGGGGTGTAACAACATAATGTACATGAGGTGTTAACAGTACTTTATGGGGACCTATTATGGTGTTATGTAACCAAAACAATTTTGCTCCATATCAATATTGAATGATAAACGAGTCTCTTTGAAATAATTGCCCGTTAAGGACAGTGTGAACACACACTGTATACCATGCCTTCGGTGTACAACAGGCAGCATTGCTACATTATACTTTCCCTCCTTTACTTTTCAAATTACTTAGTTGGGTGAACCACTGATGTATTCACTCCATCTTTGCACCCTATTTACATAAACATAGTATCACGTATTAGAAACTTCTGTCAACAGTTTCAGGTTTACTCAGAACGTCCAAAAAATATTTAGTGAAATAATGTATGTCAGATGTTAACTAGAAATTCCCCTCGCGAATAAGTTGCAGTGGGTTCCCAGAGAATTTAAGTATCGGAAAAGGAAATAGTCAGTAAATTTTAGATATCAGATACGAGGAGGGTAGTTAACATGCTTATAATAAATCTTAATACTAATAAATATCAAATTACAACACCTGGATTGGCTGTGTAATGACAAGACGCCGGTCCTATGCCAGGTAAAACCGAACACACAAGATTTTAAAGTAGTAAATGGCAAAACAGATACAAGAATACGAGCACTCTGGTGGTCCTGTATAATGGCGCTCAAAAAAGTACGTAAGTAAGGATCTCGGACCTTATATCACAAATAAATAAAGCCTAATGATAAAGGTTCACTGGCAAAATCATGTAAGTCACATTATGAGCTCACAAGTAGGACGCGAGGCTGAAAAGATCACTTTGACAATAGTGGTGAAATACACAATGATCACATAGCCGTAAGGTAGCAGATACGAGGCTGAAACCTGCGCTGAGGAAGACGAACTTTTCAAACACTGGCTGTTGAAGAGGGAATGAGTGCTTGAACAGCAGCTGGACAAGGCTTATATGGACTCGACTCACGAAAAACCGCGGGCTTTTGACAGCACTTCTGTTATATGCGACGTTGGTTGGTTGATGAGCTACTCTAGTGGCTATTATTATAACTAATTCTCCTAATGTTATCTAAGTACTCGATGGTCGAAAGAAAGCGATAACATGCCAAGTTTTACTTGAGATCAAAACCATTCGAATTATCCTACACATGGTGTATTGAGGAAAAAATTAGTTTAAGAAGCCCAGCGGTGGATATCGTTCACTATATACGAGTATTTTGGTTAGCGAAGAGAAATTGCGGCCGACAATGAGCTCGATTATCTACACTTTACAATCTAAAAAAGTCCTTTCACTTCTGGAAGGACTGTACGAACAACTTCTGGGCGAATAAGTACTTCTTCGAACGGGAACCCAGTTGTATTCACTCGGCCGCTGCACCTCTGATACAATACACGAACTTGAGTACACAAAGGGAAGACGTTACCATAAAAACTGACTCTAAAGGTTGTGAGGATCGGCAAGTTAGGCAGAAGTGTCCTTAAAACCCACATCCTACGAAAAATAATTATTCAGTGATCAATAAACCCACAATTAGTTGAACTAGTTACATCACTAGAAGAATCTCGTCATGTATAAATGTAATCCATGATTGGTGTATGGTTCAGTGTCTCACTGTTTTGCTCGATAAACACCTTCCCTCTGTTTTGTTTTTCTCTCTCATCGTCTCTTCATTTTCTTCGGCCTTGTGCTGACCAGACAAAATCAACACAGCTTTGTTTAATGTAAAAATAGCTGAATTACAGAAGAATTCAAAACCAAAAGCGCATAAGTTGCCTCGCTATTTTAGAATAATTATTTGGATAACACTGAATCTCTCCGCATTATCAGACGCAATTCCTCTGTGTCAAGGTTATGACGTCACATGTGTTGACAGAAGCCCGAGTATATAAGGTAGTGTTACACCTCGATGATCATCAGTCTGGGTCTTCTTTATAACAAAACAACAAACATGTCTCTTAAGGTATCATGACAGTCATGAATCATCGTCAGGAACTTTGATCCTTGCTTATATATGAAATATATAGCGTCTACTTCAGCTATAATCTATTGAAAATATATCATAGCCTCAAGAAATTCAGAACTCCCTTTGCATGAACGATCACGAACATAAAATAATAATGGAATATTTTTTAATAATAATATATTCTTTCACAGTTCGTGCTCGTGTTGTGTGTTGTGACGATGCCAGTGGCGCGCCCCCAAAATCACCCCAGCGAGTACTATGGCTCCCCAGTTTCCAACGTGAGTAGTGCCCCCTGTCTGTGTCAACACCCTCAACAAACCAAGTGGCTTACACAAGTATAATATTAACTTGTGTATAACTGGGCAACCAGGCTGTGGTGACTATTATGGGAGAGAGTAAATATACACCTTTCATTATGGTTGTTGCAGACTCCTGCTCAGTACAACTTCAACTGGCAAGTAAAAGATGACCCCTCCGGCAATGACTTCGGTCACGAAGAGTCCCGTGACGGCGGCAACACCCAGGGCTCCTACTACGTGCTGCTTCCCGACGGTCGCCTGCAAAGTGTCACCTACACTGTCAACGGCGACTCCGGCTACGTGGCCGAGGTGACCTACGAGGGTGAGGCCCAGTACCCTACATACCAGCCTTCCTACACCCCAACTCCTGGCTACGCCTAAAGCTTGAAGTGATAATATTTATGTAATATACCGGATAATAAACTAAAATATGTAAATAAAAATTTTGCATTGAAATTTGCTTTTTCCAATAACTTTAGACAAAAGCGAAATATAACTTATTGTTAATGGTCTTTTGCACAATATATTTCACTACTAAAATATTACCTGAATTAGGTAAGAAAATATTATCATGTACAACATACAGAATCAGATACAAGGATACTAGAGATCACTGCAGTGCCAAAGGATGAATTGAAGGTTACATGATAAGGCGACGTTGTTTTTGAGTCAATATTTATACTGTAGATTATGACGTTAATGGTGTGTCAGTGTGCATAATACAGACGTTTCTGTTGTGTCTAGTGTACAAGAGACGTTTGTAACTAGACAGATCTCGTATAGAAGATATTACATATAGGTAGAATATTTATAGTAAGAGGAATGTAAAGAGAGGAAGTTTGGTAGCGTGGCCAGTTAGTTATTATTATACTTATATTACATGTTACGTTCTTAAGGGACAACTTCTCAAACACCACTTCGATACAACTATTTATTCATTCACTCAATGACATGGACATATTAATATCAATATCATATCGGAGTTACTAGCACATTATGTTTACGTTACTCGACAGACTCACGTGTAACCTGACAGAGGCCCAGCGGGTGCTGGCTGAGCTGCCTCCTATGGGAGACCCTGCTTAGCTGGTGACGCCGGGGTCTGGTCGGGAAGTCTCCCTCCCGACCTAGGGGGAGGACGAGCGTAACTCTGAGTGAGTGAACAGAATGACGACCTGAACGGGAGAGAGATGAGTCGGATGAGAATAATGAGAGTAACCAGAATAATCCGAAGAATGTGACCCCCTGGACGGGACTACAGGGCCTTTATATGGGGGAGAAACAGTGGGCGTTTGACCTTTGCCAATTAACACTAAACTGGTTAGATCTGGACAGCTGTGTTTGCCCAGGTGCATGGTCATGCCCGGGTGTGTCTTGGTTTGGTGTGGTTTCCTTAACACGGTTATATCATAGGATTACTCAAGTACTTAGGCCGGGGTCAGGTCCCTTGGGTCCTGACCCAGGGTGTGTCAACCTGGTATGTGAGGGTACCACACGGCCTGTAGCACTCACTGTTATATGTGTTGTAATTCTCTGGGCTGTAAGCTGTGGTCTGATAATCAATCATTACACGTTCAAAGTTTGTATAGGAGTTAACCGGACAAGTTAATTATGTGTCTATTGGTGTATGAGCTGCGTTAAGAGTATGTTCAAAAGTTTAAAGGAGAATTTGATAGTGTTTCTCTGCATGTACAGAACACTAGATGTTAACAGTATTTTTATAGGTATGTGAACGGAAAGAAGACCTTAACAGTGAGTTATGTTCCCAAAATATCAAAATTTGTCATATCAGCAATAAACGATAAATGCGTCTCTTAGGGATGATTACCCGATAGGTTCAGAATAAGCACCACACTGTAGAGTATACTAAACCTTCGGTAAACAAGAGGCAGTATGGCCACAGTGCACTCACCGGCCTTTACACCCCAAATTGTTCAGTTGGGTGCATTGCAGTGACCTGGGTTCGAGCAAGCGGCTCCTATGACAAGAGGAAAATGCTACATCAACTCCACCTTCGCGATAAAATAACATATAGTAACAACTAACAGGAAGACACACAGCAATGTATTCAGGAGACATCAGTACATTATGTAGTGAACATATGTATGTCTATCCCGGGTCGGTAATGTACCCCAAGTGGGGCGGGTAACCGCCTGCAATACACATGTGTAAAAGTGAGCAAGACACCGGAGTTACTGGTGTTTCTCTAGAAGCCCATTCACCAGCCTCACCTCGGTGTGGCTAACATGCGCATTAAACATACGCAGCCGCTGAGGTTTCAGAAATTCGTCAAAAGTTCGATCTGACCTCACTCAGTTGTGTTCTGACCTCACTAGGGGAAAGGTCACGGCAGGGTTAGCTCTGGAGGGATAATTATCAGATATGGCCAGTGCTTTGTGCGGTCTTGGGTATGAGAGTTTGTTGACCAAACTGGAGTGGTCCATTGAAGAATTGGCGAGGGCCAAGTTAGAAATTGAGAGGGCCACGTTGGAGAACCTGAAATTAAGGAAAGAGCTGGCGAAGTTAAAAGGAGAGGCTGGACGAGTAAAGCCAGTGTCTGTCGAAAACTCAAGCGAGTGGAAAGTTGTGAGTAGTGGGAAGATGAAGCTGGTGGTGAAGAAGTACACCAAGGATACGACAACAACGACAACAACAGCTAAGTGTACCATCCCGTTCAGTCCCTTGATAGACGAATTGGACGTTAGTACAGTCAGGGACAGGGATGACAAGGAAGGTATAAAAACTTTAATTGTTGGTGACTCACAGGTAAGGTACATGGACAGGGCCTTTTGTGGTAAAAACAAAAATAGGATGAGGGTGTGTTTGCCAGGAGCTGGAGTGGGGGATATAGTTGACAGGATGGACAATATCTTGTCTGGTAATGGGAACAAACCCATTATCTGCCTCAGTGCAGGAGGCAATGGTATTGGCCGGGATAGGAGCGAGGAGCTTCTTGATAAGTTCAAGGCAGCTATAGATCGTATTAGGACTAAGGGAGGGATCCCTATTATATGTGGTGTCCTGCCTAGAAGGAGAGTTGGCAGTGAATGGTTGTCAAGGGCGGTTGGTGTCAACGACCGTCTTGACAGATACTGCAAGTCAATATCAGTCCCATTCATTGACAACTGGGACAACTTCTATGGCAGAAGGGACCTTTATGCTAGGGATAGGGTGCACCTGTCTAGGGATGGAGTAGCAACCCTGGCTGGGGCTCTAGAGGGGGCAGTTCAAAAGATATCGAAGTCTTTAAACTGCTAAGAGAACATATGAGCACGGGGGTGGAGGAGACTGCAGTGGGAACCGGTAAACAAAGTGAAAGACTACAGGGAAATAGTGTTAGGAATGATGACAAAACTAAATTAGACAGGGAGTTTAAAACTAAACGCGGTAAGGGGACGACTCAGAACACGACTAACTTAAATGTATACTACGCGAACAGTAGAAGTATGAGAAACAAAATGGATGATATTAGGGCCTTGGTATGTACCGAAAAAATCGATATAATTGCATTCACTGAAACATGGATCAACCTAGACACACGTGAATTACCAGTCGAATACCAAATTGCGGGTTACAAACTGTTCCATACCGATAGGCAGACCAGGAAAGGAGGCCGAGTAGCAATCTATGTTAGGGATAATCTGAAGTGCGAAATAAATAAGGAAATAAAAACTGAGAAGAATACGGAAACAATTTGGATAGAATTAAGCGACGGTCGGAAAAAATTAATCACAGGAGTAATATATAGACCCCCCAATCTTGATAGCGTCAATGAGCGATTTATCTGGGATGAAATGCGCAGGGCTTCCATACACAACAAAGTCTGTATAGTAGGCGACTTTAACCTTGGCCAAATAGATTGGACTGACCTTACGGGTAACTCAGAATCAGAGGATTTTCTCGAGACGATCCAGGACTGTTTCCTAAGTCAACATATAACCGAACCCACACGGGGTAATAATATACTCGATTTAGTTCTGTCGAACAGAGAAAACCTCATTCGCAATGTCGAGGTAGGGAACGAATTTGCAAACAGCGATCACAAAGAAATTCGATTCCAGTTAGATTTTCAGGGCAGACGTAAGGAAAATTCCACTAAAGTACCAGATTTCAGAAGGGCAAACTTTGACAGTTTAAAGAGGCAGCTGAGAGAGGGGGTGTCGCGCTTGGCCATGAACCTGACAGATGACACCGACCTGATAACGAGATCTGAGATTGCCGAGTTCCACGACAATTTAAATAGTGAGTTACTTAATGCACAAAGGCAGAACATACCATACAAAAAACTCAGATCAGACAACAATGACCCTAAATGGATAAATAATTATTTAAAGAACATCATTGGCCAAAGGAAGGCTATAGGTAGAAGGATAAATCGTGGCGAAATTCACCTCGGGACTATTATAGGGTATTGGCGAGTAGGGTTAAAACCGAGATAAGGAAAGCAAAGAGGAATAATGAGGTAAGGATAGCAAGGGAGGCGAAGACAAACCCCAAAGGATTCTACCAACTGTATCAAACTAAAACACGAGAAAAGATTGGACCAATACGGTCAGACTCCGGCGAGCTCACTGATAACGACGGAGAAATGAGCAATAATTTGAATAAATATTTTTCAACAGTTTTCACCACAGAAAATTTAAACATGATACCAGAGGCACCGACTCTATTCAGAGATAGTGAAGAAAACAAATTAAGTGAGATAGTAGTGACTAGTAACGATGTTAGTAATCAAATAGACAAACTAAAGCCTAATAAGTCACCTGGTCCCGATGAGATATTTGCCAGAGTATTTTAAAGGAATGTAAGGAAGAGCTTAGTATGCCCTTAGCAAAGTTGTTTATCATGTCCTTAAAAACAGGTGTAGTACCAGAATCCTGGAGGATAGCGAATGTAATACCGATTTTCAAGAAGGGGGATAGACCACTATCCTCTAACTACCGCCCAATCAGTCTAACATCAATAGTAGGCAAATTACTGGAAGCAATCATTTCAAACTCTATTCGAAATCACCTGGAGAAGCACCGATTGATCAATGATTCCCAGCATGGCTTCACAAGCGGACGTTCTTGCCTAACTAATCTATTAACATTCTTTTCATCAGTTTTCGAATCGGTGGACGAGGGGCACAATTATGATGTGGTATATCTCGACTTTAGCGAAGCCTTCGACAGAGTCCCCCACAAAATACTAATTAGAAAGGTAGAAGCTCATGGCATCAAAGGTAACATCCTTAAATGGATTAGGGCGTGGTTACATGACAGGAAACAGCGAGTGAGCATTAACGGCACTAAGTCCCATTGGAGCAACGTCACAAGTGGAGTTCCCCAAGGCTCAGTACTTGGACCATTATTATTTATTATATACATAAACGACATAGATATCGGCATAGACAGCAACATAAGTAAATTTGCTGATGACACTAAAATAGGACGTGTTATCAAACCTGACGAGGA